GGTTTAAAAGAAAACACAATACCCTGGACAGCTTCAAACTCATCATTAATGCGAATTCGCTGGATAGCTTCAAGCATGGGTTGGACAGATATATGAGCAATAGGGGTTGGGTGTAAATGGGACTGCCCTGTATGGGCTACTAAGCCCGCTGCGGTTTCCTCCATTTTTATGTTAAAGTTTTAACCAGAATGTCTTTAATAAAGGGGTCTAAATCGTAGTTGCCAGAATTCAAGTTGAAGTTGGGAATCTTATGTACTGGGTATATATACTGACTCGGCTAATTGTGTAATTTTTAATTCAATTCTTTACATATAATTCATCAAATAATTTTTTAACTGTATACTGTACTGTATTTTGTTTATCATAGTGCGAATACACTTATACTTGCAAATGTTTGAGGTCCATGCACGTACATGTAGCATGACAATAGCGCTTGCCATTTGGGGGTGTTCTGAAGAAGTGCTGCACCCATCTTTAAATTTTTATAACATCTATTGCAGTGTAAAAATGTATTAAAATAAAATAAAAGGGCTTACATAATCTTTCACTTCTTCTTTTAAACCCATCCAGTAATATCGCTGGGTAATTTTTTCAGTTGTGGTATTGATTACCACTGTGCCCAGCAATGGTGCAGCAAGGCAGTTCAAAAGAATACTATGCCATAATCCCGAATTTGGTGCTCAAATTTGCTAAGTGATATACTAACCATCAATTCTGTACTGATTACTACTCGTAACCTTCACTACTGCCTTCTTTACACGATAGTCACTGCCTGGCCGATGGTTGTTATTTTTTAGGGAGTACTTAACATACTCCATGTACTCAGAAAACTTTTTTAAAGTTCTCACTCTGCATTTCCTGCCCTCTCAGTCACCATATCCACTTATCTATCGCCACAACACAACTGGCCACTTATGGTTAGACACAGGGTGAGGCTGGGTCACGTCACTGTTTGTGAATGTGACGTCATTGACCGTGCATGCGCAGTTATCATTTCGGCTACTTCTGGTCTGGTACACCGTGAATTCTAAAAGCAGAAACCACAATTCATTTTAATTGATATATAAGGAAAAAAATAACTTTTGATTGACTGCGTGGTATGTACGGAAACTCACACGCATGACGATCTATTAAGTGAACACGCTGAGGGTAGGCGATAATGGCTGATGAGTAATGGAAGAAAATAGAGAAAGATTTGGCACGAGCTATCTCCATTACCGTACGCTTCCAATGGCAATGTAATACAGGTAGAAGAAAATTATCTAAAATTAGACATATTTTTCAAATATGATAATAGATTTGGGGTAGGAAAGTTGTGTGAACTACTGTACTGTACTATAAAAATATCCATTTCTTTTGCAAATAAGCAGTTTTTGCAAAATTAACATTTTCATGTTTAACAAACTGCCAATTTGCACAAAAATGAAGGTCAAATTTGAGTAAAACACACCAAAAATACACAAGCAAACCTATTCTCATACCAAAGAAACTAAGTTATTAGGTCTTATAAGAAGGTCGTTCAGATATCTAGATGGTCAGTCCCTCGTAACGATCTTCAAGAGTGAAGTGTTTCCCCATCTGGAGTACTGTCATCCCATCTGGTCCCTGAGATATGCCAGGGACTATCAGTTGATTGAAAATGTCCAAAGGAGGGCCACCAGATTGGTGCCTGCACGCGGCACCTCAGCCACCCGGAGAGATTGGAGCGCCTGAACTTGCCTAGCTTGTACTACAGACGGGCAAGGGGAGATCTGATTGAGGTGTACAAGCAAATCAGAGGACACTAGTAAGACGAGTGTCCTTACCTGGAGCTGGCAGACGCTCACCCCACAAGGGGACACAACTCAAGGTTAAAGAAGCCGCAAGTCCTAATAACTGTGAGGGGTAACTTTTTCGAAGTAAGAGTTGTGAACTCTTGGAGCAATCTGCCAGAGTGTGTGGTGACGGCACTGAGTGTGAGCTCTTTCAAGACCAGACTTGACCAACACTGGAGCAGGTTCAGGTACATTCAGGAGCCAGTGCATGCCCAGTACTTGCCAACAGTGTGTAATAAAGACCGGTCACCCAAGCGATAAATAAATTAACAAGTGGCAACAGCTGGCACGGCAAGGTCGCCACTCCCTGAGGTAATTGAAGACTACCCGCCTACCATAAATACATACAGGTATTAAAGAATATTTTGAACTGAATGGGATATTAAAAGACAAAGTGCTAAAGCTAATTTACTTCATTCAACATTAACCAACAGTTGTACAGTCCATTTTGCACAATGCACACTTCTGATTATCCATTTAGTCACACAACATAATCCATGAGGCTTAATATGATAATACTTTTTGGATAATTCTGTTATACATACGGTACAGTGACACGGTACTTCACATTTTGATATACAAGGACACTTTCTTACAGACCACAGAATTGCTTTGCTGCACATCATTAAGCTCATTGAAAAGGAACCGAGTTAGCTTAACCTATTACTGAACCTGGCAATACAACACAAACATCAATATGCAAATCATAGCTGTGTTTATTCTTTGCTCACTCGTTTGTTATTAGAATTCATTGAGGCACAATATTTTCAGATAACAAAACACACGCAACCTCGTTGAACCTTGGCTCGTTATTGTGTCAAAATGTATTTACTGTATATAGGTATACGGGAGGTATAACCTACTCGGTATATAAGTTGCACTTACAGTTGTTGCACTATTAAAGTTTGTGCTTAATGAAAAACTACACAGAAAATATAAACCTTAAAATTTAGTTTATATTACCACACCCAAAATATACAGCATAAAGAATTTAACGGCACTGCATCAACGTAGGTCACATATAAAAAAAATAGAGCACTATAAAAGTTTTCATACACACTTTTTTCCTTATTAAGATTTTACTACAAAAAATGCATGATCAACTTTATCTTCTCTTGTAGACTTAAGAGACTGGAGCTTAATAAATATATTTTCCAAAACTTCTTGTTATATATTATTGATTACAAACTTTAAATAGGAAATAGGAACCCATTGCTTAGACTCGTGTGAGGATGGCATGTTTACAATTACATAAACTGAGTCTCTATGCACTCTACCTGCCTCATACAGATGTTTATGGAGGAAACAGTAATACGACAGACAATACAGTATGTGTCCTCACTGATTTAATGTAAGGTAATTTATGAAGACTTTAACTCCCTATTTCATTGGTCACTTGAGATTTTAATTCCTTAGGTACCAAAGATGTCAACTATGCACTTGAATAACCAAAATTCCTAAATAATTTCTAGTTCAAGATACAAGGAGATAAAGACTGACATCTTAAGGCTTCATGGGTAAGCCAAAACCCACTACTCACAAGTACTTTTGATAACAAATAAGGTGCTCCATGTTTAACTCTGCAAGCTTATTCTATACATATACAGAACTGAATGTTTAACTAAAAAATTTGTAAAAAACAAAAAAACAAAATATTACAATTTGCCAAACATTGCTTTCTCAATAAATAATTTATGAGGTTTACATGATAGGCAGTCATCTATGTTTTGTTAATGATGAGCAGCGTCTACCATCACAACATAAATCACAACACACGGGGTCACAGGTCAGCCCCATACATGTTACAATAATAAAAGCCTCGCCAATAACTGAAACCCAAGTTTTGTCCTCTATCTTAGAAAATAATACAATCTCATGACATGGTTCTATAAATATATGGTGTAAGAAAAGATAAACTAATACAATAAAATAGTTTTGATAAGATGATGTTATGAATTTGTTAATACTGTACATAGTGTCTCCACTAATTTCTTGTGATTATTAAAAGAGAAGTTAGTTTCAATATTTAGTCAACTGAATGATACATTAATGCTACTGTTTTAACATTACAAACACTGATTCTCAAATGGTGATCTGGGGCTTACAGGATTACATACACTTAAGGATGACGTTGACGTATGTTTAAGAACGCCACATTTTGACATGGATATATATATATATATATGTATATCTTTAATAAACACCACATACAGTTGTCTATACAATATAATAAATATTGAATTAGTGGACATTCAAATGGCATAAAATCTCTCTATTTAACCAAGATAATTTGCCTATCCCTGCCACTGTAGCAATGTAGGATGTTAGATATGTATTTGAAGGAAACTGACTGACTTCCTCCTACTGTTTATACTGCAACTTGGTATTATTCCTAAGTCACTGACTGGAAAAACACACAGTAAAGTTTCAAAGCTCTTGGAGGAAACACCAAATATGGAATAGGTGTCCTTAGTAAACATATACAGTACAGTACAGTACAGTATATAGTACCTGTATACAGGTATAAAGAATATAAAATTTTGTATTTAGCAAAACTGCTGCATTATATCCCAGTCAGTAATAACCATTTAGAACAAGTAATACACAAATAATGTTGTCATATCCTTCACTGTCTGTGGAAGTACTGTATTAAATTTTTCAGCAATGAGACATTGTTGAAAAATGCATAAGTGGCCATCCTGATTAACGGTATTTTTTTAGTCTTAAATTCCTAAGATCACCTGACAAAACTCAAAACAGTTTTCAGCAGCTAACAGTTCATTGTGGTGGAAGACTTACTTCAAATTGCACTTAATAGGCTGTTAGGAATTGAGTGAATGACTTGGACAGTGTATTTATCCCTTACAAAGTTTTCCCTTTTATGTATAAAGTTATGGTGTGTTAAACTGCATTATCATTGAAGGATTATTGTAATTTTTGAAATGGTAATATTGCAAAATTTGAAAATAAAATATGTATCACATGAAGTAAAAGATGCTGTCAAATCCCAGTCATTCATGGAAGCACGACTGTTAAAACATTAGGCTATGAGGGGGAATTTGACCCATTAATGGTAGATGTTCTTAGTATTATACTGTATAAGCAGATGAAGACACCCTTAATTGCTCATCAAAATCAGAACAGAAATATTCACCATTTTTCAGGTACTAACACTGGATTCTTTAAGGTCTTAGGGTAAAGATTTTGAAATGGGCACCAATTTTTTTAATAGATTTAGAAATGACATCAGTCAATAGAGGAAATTAATAATAGCATATATGTGTGAATCTACTGATGTTTTTCATTTCTTCATAGCTACCATTCATGTATCATAATCTTCAGTACACAACTTAAGATACCTTCATCATGTTCTGTTACAGCTCTCCTTCATTAGAAATATGCTCCAGTAGATTTAATTGCTTATGTTAAATTTCAGTGTCTACCCATCTCTTTTAAAAAAACAGTAAAATACCAGAACCTGCACATCATCTACTTGCCTTTTATATACAGTACAGTACTCTTAATTACTAACTTCTTTCTGGTGTTAACTATTATCCATAACTTTTTTTGCATAAATAACCAAGTGTATCTCATAGTCTGTCATCAGCACTGCAGCTGACAAAAAATTCAGCATTCATAACTCAACTTTATCAGATCTGAAGTGGAAGAAAACTACAAATTTAATGTTAAATATGCTGAAACATTATCCACAACTGGTTTACATCAATGGAACGTTCAGTATCTAAACTGCCTTTCTGAAGTACCACCAGTGACTCCTGTTTACTTACACCAAAAAGAGTGAAGAACTAAAGAGTACACACTGTGTTATAAATGCTACTGATCCTGACTCCTATGCGATTCCTTTAAATGTTCACAAATGTTTAAGTGTTGTTTCTATTAACATGTGATTTTTCCAAGGAATTTGTTTTTTGGTCAATCTTTACGAGACAAAAATGACTTGTCCAAGCATCATATACTGTATCTACGGTAATAACTTTTTTAGTGTAAACTGCTACATTTATGGCACTTGGATATTAGCTGAAAGCTGCATTGTATTTGTATGTCAATAATTTATACAAAACTTATCTGCCATATACCTCACAGAGTTCTTTAAAGAAAACCTCAATACAGTATAGAGATGACCTGAGGGTAGTCCACAATTTATTGACACCCACATCTAGTTATTTGTTATTTTTTCTAAAATACAAATTAAACAATATTAACCAAGTCATGATAATAATTCTATATGGACAAAATTATTTTCTGAAAAGTAATAAAATAATTTCATATGGATAAAACAGATTTAGACAATAGGAACAGTTTACTTAAAAGTTCTTATATTGACTTTTTTATACACATGACATATGAGCTACTCAGTCACTTCTGCCTAGACTTCGTCCAACATGTAAACAATGGTCCCAGTAGCATGGAAATAATATAGTAATATCTTCTATTATTCAGCACCCTTTTCTACTTCTTATTTATCCCTATTCCATAATTCATGCAAATATGAACCATAATATAAAAATACGTACTGAACGGCTTACCTAACAGGTTCTGAACAATGAAGCTATTGACTTGAAAAATGCTGTTCATGCTCAATGATTATCAAGGATTCTGATGGAAAAAAAGAAAAAAAAAAGAATATATATATATATATATATATATATATATATATATATATATATATATATATATATATATATATATATATATATATATATATATATATATATATATATATATATATATATATATATTGTATAGAGTTACTGGCTTTATGAAAAATGTATAATGACTTATTGGATGCTGATTAGACGAGATTATGAAAAAATAAAAATAAAATAGTTCTTGTTAAAAAATGATATTTCTTTTTTCAGGCAGAGTATTGCTGTTTTTCACAATATTCAGTATTCTTTGAAATCAAAAGTGTAACGTAAGTTAAAATACTAATTAACTAAGACAATTCACATACCAAATAAAAAGTGTACCTATATCTTGTATGCCTTTTTTTTCCACATTTATGGAAATTTATGTAATATTTTCAAGAAAACTTTAACACTACTGACTGTCTTCACACCACTATGTGCTCAAGATCCATCAGAAATGCGAAGAAATTATTAAATGAATTTTGTATAATATATTAGTTGTTAATGATAACTTGCATTCACCAGGAAAAACGTGATTGAAGTTACTTTATAGTCACAATAAATGTGGACAGCAAGAACATACAGGAAAAATGATGCCAGTGAAATGGGAAAAGTACTATGTAACTTTAATAAAAATACTGTACAGTGAAACTGGGTAAATGACAAGAAAAGGGGCTGCATTAAAAATAATAATAATAAATCAATGGAAGAAATGGCATCTTTTACTTAATCCATGGAAGTGCTGCCACAGGTAACATAGGTCACTCACATTACTAATAAAATCTTTGCATAACAAATGTAAAACTAAGTGATTCTTAAATATTTGATGTCTTCTAAACAAACGGAAACCTATGGCCATTATACTTCAAAGATACATGAAACTCACACAACATTGTTATCATAATACAAAACAATAACTCCACTCATAAAACATGGTCTGTAAATGTTTGCCATAATGTCCTAATGGCATTTGTCTATTAGACATGAGAAAATAATATTCTAAAATTACAAAATTGGTCACACGTCTTACTTGCAATAAAATAACCATTTTCAGATCTATAGCATCAAAATATCCCAAAATGAAAAAAATGTCTGGTTCTTATTAAAGAAGCCCCAGAAAAGTGCTCCCAACACCCCTGTAAACTGACACATACAGTACTGCCATACTTTTACACATGCTATACACAGAGTTGTTTCAAGACTTGCTACAGTTTTTGGCTTAGTCATGGTCAAAACATATTCAGGGCTGGAATTTATGAGGTGGCCATGATTATCATTACCTTCTTGTCTACACATGATGCCCCTCACAAAAAATACACCATCTTCACAGCCACAGTACTGTGTGACCCATCTTCTATTCTACCCATCTCGACCTTTTCATTAACTCCAAGACCTAGCATACATGTCTTTATTAATAATCTTGTAACTGACAGTAACACATTCTAGCATGAAAAATTACCGGAGTATTACTGAAAATGCAAAGAATTCATTAGCGAATTAAAAGACACCATGCTAAAATCATATCCATATCTGGAACTCAACTCTGTGGTAGCCATTTATTCCAGCTGCACAACTTTTCTAGCCAGTCATACTTAACCGTTGTTTACCAGTAAACTGTATTTATTTACCATTTAACAACACCTGGCAGGGGACAGTCATAACAGCTATAGATTCTCCTACCCAGAATGAAACGTGAATTAACTCCAGCGTCACCATAAATTAAATTGCCCTTTTTATTGAGTAAATACAAAAAATCTAGTACATATCACAGTAAATCTACATTATAACTACAACTGTTCTGTACCCACGACCATTTTACATCATTTAGTATGCCAGTATTTAAGTGAAAGCACATTTCTTAAATCTAAATAAACTATACAAAAGTTTCTTATAAAAAATCATCAGTCTATAGGATGCACAGAACTAAAGATGAGGTCAGTCATCGTCTGTAAATTTGTGAGTTGCAAATAATGTTAACCCCAACATCTTTAAAACCACACAAAATACTGATGAAAAGGTCAATCAGTAATAAAATATTTGTATCCCCCTCGATTCTTACAATAAAAGGGTTAAAACACAGTCAGTCGTCGGATAGTCAGAATATGTGTAGTCGCCAAGTAGTGAAGAGAATAGGGTCCTGCTGTGTGAGGAATTATTGTTCCATCTCTTAACACACCTTCCATTTAACCTAAATTACATCTACACATAAGATTAATTATGAAAAACAGTTCCCAAACGGAATCACTTCTTTAGTTAAAAAATATGCTTTGTCCTTTACTGCTCCTGAAGGATAAACAATATTGTAAAAATAATAAAATAAATTCTACATGAAATTTATAGATAAGAATTTGTATATTTCCAGGAATACACAACTCAAACAAATCTTTCAAAAAGTTCTTGGTATATCCTTCAACAATAAAGACTGCATTAACTACAGAAAATCAACCTCTCTCTCTCTCTCCTAACATCTTCAGAGAATCATCATCCTTTGACAGTGATATGTTGGTCCTTACAGAGGAGCAGCTTTCTCTGGCTGGCAGACCATCATCAACTTTTGCATAAAATGGTCCATCTTACCTGTGGAATTATTGATCATGTTAATTTATTATATCAAGCTTTTCTGCTGAGCAACTGGGTAATACAACTAACTGATATTAACTGTTACAAACGTTATTCTTATATACAGTATATATATATATATATATATATATAATATATATATATATATATATATATATATATATATATATATATATATATATATATATATATATATATATATATATATATATATATATATATATATTATATATATATATATATTTATACATAAATTTACATTATAAAGGATTATTCCATATGACAGAACTTAAGAATAAAAATTAAATTTTAAGTAACTTTGGTATTGGCATTGGTGTATTTCAAAGAATCAATTTCAAAAGTACAGTACTGTATGCCATAAGTAAACATTAAAGGTGGTGAAGTTGCTTAAAAATGCAAAAATCATAAATAAATAGGGGTGTCATTATACCTAAGAAGTTTTTGGTCGAACAACCATCATTATCTTCTGCAGAGATTCGGTCATTTTATCTGAGGATGAACAGGCACAACATGATGATCAAGAGATAATAAGCAAAGCTAAACATGCACAGGATGACATGCCCACAAAATTAAACATTCCTGCATTGTGACAGAATGCCAGCTTACATAAAGCTTTACAAAAAAATCCAAAGTATGGGGGGAAGTACAGGATAGGTTCCACAGTTAGAAGAGAGAAGGGTGGTAAAGTGGCCCTGCAAGTCACAAGGGTTAATAGTAATGGTGGTCATATTCTCATAATGTACATTTACACAATTATTACATTTAAACAAGCAAGAATGCAAACACCAGTATATTAGCCAATTATTTGGTTGTTACCTATAATCTAAACCACAGACAACTGAAGCCTGGTTACCCTAAAATGATTTAAGTTTTATCAGCACAAACTGGAGACAGTCTGCTCATTTGCTCAACTTTATAGTTTTGTCATGGTTTTACAGATGAAAATGTTCTAATTTTAATACCAAACATATGATTTTGTCTCTTTCCAAAAATGCTAAGTACTCAGAGCAAAAGCCCCATTGCCATTAGTATACAAAATATTAAACTTATCTGGCACAAAAACACTGAAAATGCAACAAAATTGCAGTGGTGATTTGAAATATATTGTGCTGCTGAATGAGAGAAATACAGCAATTTTGAGTTATCATATTACTGGCAATGCATTTTCAAGATTTCACTGCAAAATCCAAGACCAAAGGGGCAAAACTGACAAATATCACTGTGAAAACATAAAACAATGAAAAAGGGACATGTGCACATGACAACATAAGCCCCCAAATTTTCATTAAATTTACCTTGTACAGTACAGTACCAGAATTAAAATTTTCATAGCAAAAATATAAACATAAAAAGAAGTAGCATAATTGTTACATGTTACATTAATTTAATAGACAAAGTAAATATCAATAAAATTTTGTTAACCAATGCAAGGTAATTTTTTAAATGACACTTTAATGGATTTGGGATATTCATACAGATTTGAATAGAGGAAAAAAAAATTATATGTAGTGGGGCAAAATGAGCAAAAAACATCCATGAAGGATCAATTTTGACTGTTTGATATTATAGAAAAAATTGTTCTGTGGTTATGATATGACATCACTTTCAACATTAATATAATTTTGTTTTGTATTTTCATATCGTTTTATTCTCCTTGTTCTTTATAGGAACTATGAAGACTGTTAACTCCTCATCTGATATAAATTGATATAAGCCAAAAATTTACTTGTAAAGTGCCTGGGGTTTGACAGCATGTGTCAAAATTTGAATCCCTCCTTTTTGTTTAGAATGTGACCACAAACATTCTACAGCCTGAATGATACAGTTCCTTGTATCTCATGGGATGTTAATGATGCCTTAACCAAAAACTAAGAGGCAGCTTTAAGCATGAAATAAAATGAACGAATGTATGGTTATAAGAGTGCACAAACCATCATCATTATTACCGTACATAATTTTCCTAACTCAACAAATTTGTTATCATCAATTGAGGCAGGTCAAGAAAGTCACACTTTGAGTATAGAATAATTCTTTGAGGTTTAAATGTTACAGGCTGGCGACCTTTACACTTTTATGCTGATTTGTGGCTTTTATATTAATGTGCCTCATATAATGCACAGAAATGAGCTTTTGGGGTTTGATTTTACTGTGCATATATTTTACCACAGAATTATGAGTACTATACTGTACTGTTAAGTGCCTCCAAAGCTTCAAGTCCTTTTCACATTTTACCAACACTGTAATTCCGTATCAACAAATACTCTCATTAAGAATAGACCAATATGACCAAACATAAAACATTCATTTTGTACATGATACTATTCATACTTTACTCTTTTAATTATAATTTTTTGCACATACATACATACAGTAGTTTGACACTAAGAGCTGTATCAATCATTTTATAAATATACTGTACGTATATATAAATGTCACACTGTATACTCATTCACACCATACATCAGTAAAACTCAAGATGTTAATAATTCTTTAGTATAATTTATCTGGCCTCTGGACACACTAAAATTTGGTTTGTACCACAGTTAAAATATATTGATTTTGGTGATACCACAGCACTTTTTCATTCACATAACTAACTGCTGTACTGTAGTTAATGAACTAAGTGTACTGGTGTTAACTGGGTTACTATTTTAACAATGTTATATTACTAACTCTTTAGCATCTCCGGAGGTCAGATATAATAAAGCCGAGTGTTAATAAGGCTTTCAGTTATTTTCTTTTACATTTTTTTTTACACAATGACAATATTTATCAAAAGTGCCAAACAGATTTTTCTCCCAGGAAAACTTTCAGAAAAAAAAAAAGTGCCATCTGGTGCAGTGACGGTGGTGGAAGAGCAATAGGAAAAAAATTATAAAGAAGGCAAGCAGTTGAGATGAATGGCAAGAATGATGGAGTGAGATGGACTGTATCTATCTAAGGGAGGAAAGAGTCAGTGTGAGGGGAGTGTCTCATAAGAAGATAAGAGTACATGTGTGGGATGATTCAGAGGAAGAAATGAGATAGAACATGTGTGTGTGTGTGTGTGTGTGTGTGTGTGTGTGTGTGTGTGTGTGTGTGTGTGTGTGTGTGTGTGTGTGTGTGTGTGTGTGTGTGTGTGTGTGTGTGTGTGTGTGTGTGTGTGTGTTGGTGTGTGTGGGTTGTATTGTATTTGTATGTTTTCCTTGAGTATGTATTATGAAGGTGGTTTACTATGAGCAACTGTTGAAAATGGGTCAGAGGAATACAAGTCAAATTTTTCCACACAAAGGAATACCACAAGTTACAGATCATGTCCCATCTATAAAATGAAATTAATGCATACTGCTGCAGTGATATGGTCAACATCTACTAAAAATGATGCATGCTAGCACAGACTTGTATGCACAAATGCTGCACAGTGAGACATAATAGCTAAGACATTCACTGCTACCTACACATTCATTACCATTCGCTAAAACATTTCATTATTTTTTCGTCTCTGCAGGTAAGACCATCATCATTTTCTGCATAGCTTCTGTAAACTTATCTGATGGGTTAAAAGATATACACAACATAAATACAAAGCCACAAAATACTTAGCATTTGCATACACTCTGATTATTTGAGAAATCAAGTGAAAGAAAAAAGAAAAAAGTGGGACATTATACAATAAACAGCAACATACTGCACACAGTAACTATGGTTTTCAGTATGCCCGAGTTTCATTCTGTTACAACTGATAAACAGCCGATGTCAACAATAATGCCAGTGTCGTGATGACGTTTAGGCCATTGAGAACTCGCACACCATTCATTTATGTTAAAACTGGTGTTATCATGTAAGATTATGAAAGAAAAAAAAAAAAAAAAAAGTTAGTTTCTCCAACACAAATCTTTAAATATCTAAAAATCAAAATGACAATCTTCATGATTCAACATTGCATTGGCAAAAGATGGCAAAAAAAAAAAAAAATAAAAAATAAAGCTTTACTGCTCATGATTTTTTCCTTCATATTTATCAGTAAATGTTACTATTAAAGTTTTTTTTTCTAAGTTTCTCGTTTGAGTTCCTTTTGTTTATGTTAATTATTTTAGCTTTGTTGATATTGCCTATTTTAGCTTCTTTGTTCATGTTGCTTTCAATTATTCTACAATATTTTGTATTATCTCTGGGGTTTTTTCAGTCTGTTTTTATCCCCTCCTTTATCTATATATCTTCAGACACCCCTTTTGTCAATTCTTCTTACAGTAATTAAAATTAAGAATCTTAAACCCTTGGCCTCTAATGCCTGCTTTCAATGTGTGTTTATAACTCTATAACTTGTTACTGTACATTCCTATACAGGTACTTTAGGTTGAGTTAAGGTAGGTCTTCTGACAGGTGTCATCCCACTTGGACGATCGTCAGTTTTATGCAATCTTTACTATCTAAGTTAATTGATCAGGTTAGGTTAATTTAAAACACTAATAATTTTTTGTATAAATTTGTTGGCAATTTATGTCTATCTGAAGCCATTTGTATATAAACAGATCATCATTCCCCCAAAAATAATTCAGGTGCTTTTAAGCATTATCTTATAAACTGTGTACAGGTACGTATATGCAAAGTATGTAACCAGTCTTAAATTTTTGTCTTCTCTGTACATTCAATCACAAATATTTATATACAAAAATTAACACAATTGAAGTTTTGTATCTGAGAATCACTTTCAGTCTAAATTGAACCTGTCACTCTAAATTGTGAAAATATTATAATACATTCATTTATTACACAAATATATGATTTTAACCTATGATATACTGGCAGTGTTGTTATAGACTTAGGATTTTGTTTTACAAAAGACCAAATTTCCAGTCGAAAGAGAAATGGGATGCTTTTTGTTATAAAAAATGTAGAAATAGAGATTAACATTAATCTCTCATGGGTTTTAATAAGTTTCTTAGTTTCCAAAACATATCCAGTACCTTTGTCCCCTCAGCTCCTCCTGCTTCAGAATTTATCAAAGGTATTAATTAACCTTTCTTTCTAGGGGTTAGAGTCAGTATAGCTCAGTGCTGTGAATTAATGTAAGCAACATTACATTATCTCTGCTTCAAACTTTCACAAGTTCTTCCATGTGTCAGTTATAGTTAAGTGTCATCTACTTGACTAACCACCAAGTGCTTACATGTCATTTATCTCATATGGGGGAAAAAATAAAAAATTCCATCAACTCAATGAAGTTAAAATTTTGTGATCTCATGCAATAAAACAGTTTACTGGTAATCACGTAGCCAAATTTTGCAAGTTTCACAAGCTGTAGTTTTAAATACCTACATCTCTCCATCCTGCGGTCATTTAGACACCATCTAACACTCAGCTGTAGTTCATCTCCAATTGCTGTATACAGTATATGTTTCAGTTTGATTTCCCTCAAAAATATTTATAAAACCTTTGATATTTTTTGTTATGATAAGTGATTCTTGGTTAAACGATGAACCTACTTTTGATACCACAGACTGTTGGAAATTTATTCTTCAAAATCTGAACCTTTGTATCATTCTTGATTAACTAATTATAAAGCTTATGTTAGAAGAATGCTATACATCATCATCCCACATACACGATCTATTTCTTCTCTCATGGCTGGCCAGGAAAATAATTATCATCCACACAAAAGATTCCTTATAATAAATAAACAAAACTTTTATCCTGAAACAAATCATCCATCGATTAGTTATACCAGGAACAGAAACCAACAAATAAAACCCAATTCTCATGAAGGTCAAGCAACACTGCAAATGTAAGTGATCAAAACAATATGCTTGATGTTATGCAGTATGAGGTAACATAAACTAACACAAAAATACAACTTTCTAGAAATATTAAACCAACATTAAAAATATAAACTAACAAAACAATACTGTATGCCTCATTGTTAACTCCAGCAAGCAATTAAGTGAATGACATGACGGGTAAACACGCTGTTTTGCGAAGCTTCTTGAACACTGAGATAAGTATACAATTCTCTAAATTAGTATTGTGATCCAATATCGTATGATACAAAATAAATTACAGTACTGTACTGTAATCACTGGTGTCATTATGTGAAGTTGCAGGTTAAACAATTAACTATCACAGCCCAATATTGTGCATAAGCTAGCAATTTTTGTACTATACAGTACTATACAATACTGTCCTGTCCTGTACTATTATATCTTCATTAAAAAAGTTTCAATCAATTGCATCACCGAAATGACTATGCAATGTACGGTAAGTTTTCCATCAAAATTAGTCAAAATAAAACACACCTCATTACTGTACGGTACATAAAATTCTCAGTCAAAAAAATTATTTTTTGAATATTGTTGACACCATCAACGTTAGTTCAAGAAGCTTTATACACAAACTCATCCCATAAGTACACACCGTTAAGACACATAACCTACGTGTACAGTACAGTACTTACTTAGTCTCGTCGTGATAAAAGCTGGTTTCCGCATTTTGACGAAGATGAGGTAAACCGGGACACCAGTAGAGATAATTCCCACACCAATACCTGAAGAGGTTGAATCTCCATTATTTCCAGGATCTTCATTACATATATTACAACACTCCTCTAACTAACTGTTGCAGTAATTAGTATTCTTGTTTAGCATTCTAGTTACTGACATTCCTATGTAAATGTTGTGCAGACTGGCTTCTGTTCATATAAATATTGCAGTGACACATATTCCTGATTATTTTTTGGGCTGACTGGCATTCCTTTATGTTAATATGACAATGATTGGCATTCCTGTCTAACTATTATTCTAATTGAAGTAATGTAAAGACTGTTGTACCTGTAAGTGGCATTCTTGTCTAAATATTGCATCTATTCACAAAATACAGGAATGCTTGCACACTGAGCACCTTTAATATGGGAAAAATTAAATCTGATGCAATAATTTGGTACAGGTCAAACCCCTCTAATCCACCATGATCTGTGATTGTCTTTCTTGGCAATAATGTAATTCCAATGTAAACATTTTGTTCAAACAAGCTTTTTAATTTTATTTCGTTTCAAAGTTCTCATCTATCTAAATCTTCCTTATCATCCTCTTTTATGTTTTAACAGGTCCAGTATTTTATTACTTGCTATGTACCACAAATTAATCCTCTCTCTAAGTTCTCTTGTGTATACAGGCATAAAAATACACTACTATGTATGATCTTACAACTTGGACATATATTAATAAATTGAATATCAACTCTGGTTTTACTACATGAGTAAATAAACTCCTGGTACAGTACAATATACCGTATAAAAAGATTTTCATGCATTACCAGTTTCAATGGGCGCTGCAATCATGGGAACAATGGTGATGATTATAGTAGCGATGATATACAGGATTGGCCAGACAAGATTCACTTTGATTGGCCTTTCCAAATCAGGTGCTGTCCAGCGCAGCCACGGTACACACAGGACAGCAAGGCCGATTGATATCTGGAAAAATATATCAATGGAATATACAGAAGACTTAAAAAATAATGAGTTACTGTGTTAATACCTGTCAGAGATCTATGGATTACCAACTTGATGGTTTCATTTACATTCTCGAAGTCAAAGTTTTAAAGCCAAATTAGACTTATGAAAACTGGTCATTTGGGTCCTTTCTGAGCACTCATCCAGTTTTGAAGAACTGGGTGAAAAATAACCCAAAACCTTCCTAATATGGGCCCCCCTTTTGCATACGTGATAGGACTCTGACCATAGCATTACATGTAAACATTAACAAACTTTGCTGTTGCAAAGTTAGAATGGCAAATTTATTCTATTGTGTTTCATGTAACTTACATACCATGGTGGTTTAGGCTTTCATTAATTCAAAAACCCTATCAACATAAGAGTAAATATATTCCCTATAAGTGAAGGTACATTACATTAACACATTATAAACATTCACTTACCCAGGTAGCAAAACCAACATAAGAGATGAGGGCAAAGATGTTACTTGAGCTGAGGTAGATAAGACTGAGGAAGGCCATGAACAGCACTGCAGGGGTGGGTGTCATACGCTTGATTTGGATCATTGTCAAAATCTCGGGCATCTGACCTTCCATTGCACCAGCATAGAAGAGCCTAGGAAAGGTGTTGATGAGTTAGGATATTTTCTAAGTGGTAAAATATTGATGCATTTTCAGTGTTGCCATCTTTGACTGATAACTTAAAAATAACTTCATCTAGTTAATATGAAGTACTGTACAGGTACTGTATATGCTTTTCTCAAATGAAAATGACATGTGTAATACTGTACAGTATGTTGCTAATAAATACTTCAATAAAAAAGCTTGATACAGTATTTGCTTTGTGATGATGGTAATTATGTATTACGTATTAATTAACACATGAAGATGATAAAAATGACAGAAGAACAGCGAAGAATAAGAAAATAACTTGCACAACACTTTCCTTAGCAATAAGAACGACATGCAAAATAACTACTCACTGTCTAAGAGTAAGAAGGAATAATAATGCATGCTTTTGAAAAATCTGGCATTCCAGCTTCTCTCAGAATTAAAAAAGTGCATCCAGGAAACAGAGCAGCCATGCACTGGTACTACTGTGATCTACAGTATATCACATAAGCCATACAGGGGCTGAGACAGTATACTTGACAACTTACCAGAAATATATTACCAGTATTTGCAGACCCATAAAATAACAGTTATAAGTACACAACTTCAAAACAAGACAGAAGGCAGAGGCCAGAAGCCAGCTCAGGCTACAGTAAAGCTCATTTCTGCAAACCTCGAACACAAATGAGACTGAAAGACTTAGCAACATTACTTACCAGTGCCATAAATAGCTTCTTAAACATAACATCAAGCTCCACTCTTTACAAAAACTTTCTTCAAACAACTCCACTCAAAAAGAAAATTACCATTTACAAGAAAGTTTATTTACAAATCCAAAGGGATATGCATTTTTAATTAATTTCTTTTTGCAAACATTTTCAAAATTTAAAATATTTACAAATGAATGATACTACATTGTGCATTACCTTTCAACTATACACTATTGTGGCAGTGTCAAACGAACATACAAACCTTGATTAACAATACAGTACACTTTGATATCAATTATGCAGCAATTTTCTCAAAATTTAAAGAGCAAAATTATACAGTAAACCCTCGATAACTTGGAATTTAATATAAATTGGCATGGATATGGTCTTGGAATATATTAGTACAACTCAGGATATATATATATATATATATATATATATATATATATATATATATATATATATATAATTATCTGAGAAAATCTCGGCATATCTGGCCACCTGCATCACCTACCATGCATCTGTCACCTACTATGATGCTTCAATGTTTGCCTGCAGTGCTGGTAAGTGTTACTTTTTACATTTGATAATTACATGTGGTCAGCAAAATATTATTCTGCACCTTTACGGGTTCCTACAGAATGACACACTGGACCAAGAATTCTAAAAACACTCAAGTCAAACTGGATGTTGGTAGCCCAGGCTTCCTGAGTTGCCAGCTACTCTGTAAGATAGTATTTACCATAAGATGTTTCAGTGTGTCTGCGTGCACAATGTGTTACAAGATGCGAATAGTGTAGTTAACATCACATAACTATATTTATAAAATAATCAAATTAATATCAAAAGCAATTGCCATTACAACTCCTCCTGTTTGCTCTGATGGTCTGCCCTTTGCAGATCGAAACTTATACAGTGTTCTTTTAAAAGATCACACTTCCTCTGGCAAAATTCTTTGCTACACTGTGTTAAATAACACTGACACTGCTTTTGCTTTGTGAATTTTACTACCAGTTACCCCTGGTCAACCCCCTATTCTTACATATATTGTGACATCTTTCCAGTAGCTCAGTTACCTATGCGTAATATTGTATAACTTTCCTCCGTTACAAATGTTTCTTATTTTTTTCTTCTGGTTGAGGTCTTGTATTATGCCATTTCTCACCACTTTCTTAGATAGTGGTTATAATCATGAGTATTTACACAAAATTCCTATACAGCACCTCAGTTTCTAGAGTGCCTGCCATTCCTACCGTATGTGGGTGACTAAATATAGTACTACGGTGTAGTTACTATAGTATATAATGCTATGACATTGTCTGGTTTAAGTGCTATGGGTTTTATATGTATTCCTGATAATTTATCTGTGGTTACTACACATGATATAAGGAATAACAGCACATTAGTTTTACAATGAATCATACAATCAGAGATACCAACCTTACCAATACATGGCGTCAGTCTCGCCATGTTCGTTACGAGAGCCATCGCACCCAGGAGTGCATAATAATTTTTTGCTGACTGTACACATACATATGGGTCGAAAAATTTTTTTTTTGTATTTTTGTAGGGGGGGGGGTTGCCTCAATAAGTCGGAATTTGGGATAACTTGGCAAGGATAGAGCCTCATGTGCCGAGTTATGAAGGGTTTACTGTATGAGGTAATTTACACATTGATCAGTTAAATAAACCTAAATCAATAGTTGCCAACAAAAATTTTAATGTAAACCTCACACTGCATAAAAGTATTCTGTACTGTAACACCAAAACAAACAAAACTTGTTACCTGTGTACTTGCCATAAACTGGAACATCTATTGTCATTAACTTCTCTATACTATAAACAATGGACATGTCAAATAAATACTGTAACACACATCTAATTAAGTGTTTGTATTACTCCAATATTTATTGAAAGTTAAAGTGGCTCTCATAAGCCTGACTGCACATTTGGGAGTGTGTGAATATAGCACATTGTACAGTACTGTATACCAAGCCTTCAGTACATTAAAAGACAGAGTGGCCATCACTGCACTCAACCACTTTAACTTCCCCTTTAGGTACCCATTTACTGCTGGGTGAAGTGGGAGTGAACTGGGATCAAACCAGTGACCCATGAAACAAGAGGCAAGTGCTGTATCCACTCAGCCAATGCACTTCACCAACATTCATTAGTGTATATATACTGTACTGTAAACTTAATGGTGCTTTTCTCTGGAATACAGTACTGTACTGACATTTTTTTTTTAAGAAAAAAAAAAGGAAGGAAGGAAGTTGATAATAAAATGATACTAATGCTGCTGGTATGGAGTGTTATGACAACAGCTAGTCCAGCTTATATTTGCAACTGCCCGTAGAAACTTAATTATACTGTACATACATAAATATAATTTATTATTAAAGCATATGAAGCAGTCCAAATTCATTGTTACTTTGAAATGCAGGTATAGAAATTTTTTGTTAGTACAAAATGAAATGTTAGTCATAGACTTAGCTGAAGCTACAGGTAGTGCTGTACTGTACTCACATCATCTTGTACTTTCACAAGAAATCTCAACAATATTCATTGAAAGACTAATGTCATTCCAATAGCTGGAATATTCTGGAAAATTCTGTGGAAATTTTCCTGGTACAGGTACCCGAAAAATTTTAGGGATGGGGAACTTTTTTCCCTGGGTTTGAGACATATGAAAATAGGGTGCATTTTCCGGAAATACCGAAAAAATATTTTCCAGTACCCGGAAAATTTCAGGGCTGGGAGATTTTTTTCCGGTTTTGAGATGAAATAATGCATCATTCTGGAAAAACCTGAGAAATTCCGCTGGAAAAATTCCAGGGATGGGGTGATTTCTTTCTGGGTTCGAGTGATGATGTAACGTGCAGTTTCTGGAACTTCCAACAAAATTTTCCTGGTACCTGGAAATCTCTAATTCCCGGAAGTGCTCTGCACCATTTGTTCCAGCTAATGGATATATCACTTTGTATACTTTAATGAATAGAAGATTGATCTGGAAAACCAATTGTATGACTAAACCTGGATCAGATGGCACATGTACCGTACATGTTTGCTAAGACCATAGGCTGAAAATCCCTGGTACACCCTCAACACTTGTAGCTAGAACTATTTATTGATCAGCCAAACCATCCCATCATACCAAGATTTCTAATATGAAGTTCAGGTGTACAGTAATGGTACCAGCTAAGACCGAAAGACATCACTGTATGTTGTGTGCACTGTGTCCATCACCTAGCTCATTCATAAGCAGATACATGTACAGTATTAGAAAGTAGATCTTTACTTCCAAACCATTATACACTTGAAAATGGGTGGGTAAGTGAGTCACCTGCTCTGGATTTGATCTTAAAATGGAATTTCAGGTCCAATCCTCTATTTATGACCCAGCCCCTGGCTCACAGCTAGATAAATGGATGAAAGTGTTATACAGTAAAGGATCTCCAAGTGTTAACATGGTATGCACCCCACTAGGAGAACTTGTCAACAAATTAGGAGGACACAAGGATATCAACTTTACTAACTCCCTCATCAACACAGTTTGAGAGTTATGAAGGACAACATGGTAATCAATAACTTGTGTCTCAACACTACTAGTATAATGGGTAGGTACAACTCATGAACCTAGAACCACACTTTTTACTTTTATGTTGAGAAAAATTTGACAGAGGATGCATAAGGGGGATTGTGCCCCCCCCCATTTGCATTACTTAAAAATTTAACATACTTATTCAATCCTTTAACTTCATAAGTGTGCTACACAGAAAGTTCTATCTCATAATTTTTAATGTTGCTATACCAGTCACTAGTGTACTACTAACCTGTTACATGCTTAAACACCTTTGTTGTTAAAATGCAATACAATAATTACATTAAAACAACATAAGTGTACTATACCTGATATGATTATGAATTAGTTCTAGCCACTAATATTGAGGGCTTACCAGAGGTTTTCATCCCATAGACACAGTGAACACATGAGCAAGTTACCTAAGCCAGGCACTGTCATAAAAGCACCCTCCATATAAATATACTGCACAAACAACTTATACACTGAAACTCAGTACAACAGCTCCACTGTTACTTCTCACTAAGTAACACAGGATTACCCTGTAAAGTTTTTAATAAGCTTCCAAATTCCTTAAACATTTTCTACCCAGAAAAAATATTCTTATATTTATACACGTACCACCAAGTGTACTAATAACTCAGATGATACAATTTCCCCTTAAGTTTAGAAAGCACCAAAATGAATTGTAATATTCAACTAAAGATATTTTTCTGGTCATGAAAATTTGACAGAAATGAACCCAAGAGTGTGAAATGTTATTTTTGGGCATACAGGAAAAAATTTACAGAAATTATCCAAAGGTTGTGAAATGATATTGAGTGCTACTATAGTGTGCAGTCTACAAGATAGTTACTGTAGGTTAGGTCAGGTAAGGTCACGTCAAGATATCTTTGTAGATCGCACGCTATAGTAGCACCTGATATTGTTTAGAAAAAAGATGAAGGTTTCTTTAAATATAACCTTATAAATACCAAGTAGTGTACATAGTTGAAAGATTGGCAGAAAAGAAGTGATTGTTAACTACTGAAAAGTATAATGGAAGCATCTAAATATGTGAGTCACAATGTGCAAATGTTATGAAATTCTCAAACTACAGTAAGAGCTTGTTAGTGGCTAATGATGATGCAATAAATTTAAGAGCTAGGTGTGGTTATACAGTAATGGAATTTTAAGAACTTGATATATTCAAATGAATACAATCACATGCTTAAATAAAAAAAAACACAATTGTGTTATGTGTAATTAATGAATACAGGTGGTCCCCGACTTACGAACGCCAGCCGATACGAACGGGGTTAAACTTGAAATTTAATTAAAATAAGTGATTTTGTAAGTACGGTTTGCATATATTGTAGTATGTTTTCTGAATTATGAATGTCCTCAGGAACGGAACCCGTTCGTAACCCAGAGGCCCCCTGTACTGTATACTGTACGTACTGTAAAAGGAAGGAGACTGGTGTTGGCTATAATTTACAAAAAAATTTTATTTTATTTATTCAACATTATATTGGCCATACACTTATTTTAAAGAAAAAATGTATTATAAGTCATCTCATTAAAACCAAAGTAGAGATAAATAATATATATATATATATATATATATATATATATATATATATATATATATATATATATATATATATATATATATATATATATATATATATATATATATATATATATATATATATACTGTATATAGCATTACAGTATAGTGAATATTCCTTTATAACCATCAAACTGAAATACAGTGAGGATAATTCTTACTCTACAGTTCAGTTTAAAAATGACAGAAACATAATAGGCCATGGAATGAATCATAGTTTCAATTTAAGGTCTGAAAAACTTACCTCTTTCTTCAATACAGTATAATTTTAGCTTAAGTCTACTATTCTCATTTATTTATCACAAACACCAATCTCCTTCATTATGGTTTTGCACTTATGTCAACAAAAATGAAACACACAAATAGCCCTAGATGTTCACGGGATTGTTTTAAAGAAAACAACAATACTGTACTATAAAGTATGTACAGTACTGTATTTAAATGATTTCTCTTGTTTAAAGAATTTCATAAGATTCACTTTCTTACACTAATTATTATTCAATTTATAACAACTCAAAAGCTTTATTTTAACATGGTCCCAATGAACATTTAAACACTTATAAAAATAATGCACAAAGTTTCGTTATACAGTATTACAGTTGTTGTCACTGGGTACTGTATTACATGAAAAGAACAGCTGGAATCACCAACCTAACAACTTTTCAGATAATAGTTTTGCAAATGTTAGAGAGTACAGGCTTACACTGTGCTATTATCCATGAATAATGAGCATTTATGCAGTACAATACTGCAAAAACCACTGGACAAAAAAATATACCAATACTGTACCTGTTTATATTGTACAGAGTTTTGTCATGGATTTCACTGCCATATGAATTACCTGTAATATTTTGTATCTAATCTCAGTTACAGTACTGTACTGTACTTGCTTCCTGTAAATGGTTGATATAGGTTTATTCAAGACCAAACTCCTAAAGTTCTGTATGGACATAAAGCAAAAGTTTTTGCTTTGTGGATCTTCTTAAATGATGTTAATAATAAATACTGCAACTGTATATTTTCTATAACTTATCTGTCTCATTCTCAATATTCTGGATAACATCTTCAGATAGATTGGTGTTAATAAAGAACTAGCTACACAGTGTAAGTCGGTGCCTTTCTAAAGCCTTTGCCAGACCACTTCTCGAGTTGTTCCAGGGAATCCAAGTCGGCCTCTCAGTTTACCTCGAAGATGTGAAGAGGATGCCATTCACGGAGCCAAACGTGGAGAGAGCCACGAATATGGGGATGAGGAATTCCACTGGCCGGTATAGGCGATCAGCAAAACTCTGTAAGACCAACGACCAGCCCGATGAACGTTATGTCCAACAAGTCCGAGGTAGAGGAAGGGTGGAGGTCACGAGATATAAAGGCGGGACAAACAGGGAAGGAGTCCCGAATGGAAGTGATACACATAACCATTTGAAGAAGCACTTCAATGGGAGTACGAGAGGAGAGAGAAAAGTCCAATACGAAGCTTTGTTTCCTTGAAGTGGTTGGCACATGGGGGCCGTGCTGCCTATGCCACACTTCACAGCTGTGGAACTTGCCTCTAGCAGTGTGCTAATATTTTCTAAGATATGAATGCTATCATTTATAAAGCTTTAATAAAATTAAACTGAAATGGAGTTTCGTATCCATAACAATAAATGAAGCGAGTTCTAAGAATTAGCAGATGCCTACTTGATGATCTATAATAAACACAGTCGTCACAGAATCCATATATGATGCAATTTATCATCACTACTGTATATAAACGAGCTAGGGAATATCGGGACATGCTATAAGCAACAGAAATGGTTTTAGTTCTACCTAAGTAGGCAGCTGCTAATTTCTAAAAACAAAAGAAAATGGGTAACAGCCACTGCCAGTGATGGATCGTACTTGTCCATTCGAATATATAAAATCAGTGGCTGAAACTGGTCATGGCAGTGAGATCCCATTAACTGTTGTCTGATCCTGGAACAGTTGATTGGTCTAGCGTTGCCTGAGGAGTGGATAAAAATTCTCTCTAAAATGGGCTCTGTACCTGGAAGATGTCAGCAGCACACCGTTGACTGCTCCGAAGGTCGAACAGGCGACGAAAAATGGCATAATCCAAGCCATGTAACCGTACAATCTATTTGCAAAGGTCTGTGAAAACAAGGGTTGGTAAGATGGGAGGAAGTGTCAGTTAGGAGCTACAGGTGGTTGCCATGGTGACCCAAGATGACCCATTCTTCATGCCAATTATACTGACTCGCAAAATTAATGAGCAAGTGTTATAAGACCATACTGAAATAAGAGTTGTTGCCTACTGAGGAATGACTGACTAGGAAAAGCATGAATCTTGTACACTGTGGCTAATACTAGTGATAAAAGATAAATCTCGTCATGCCGTGTTTTGCGATGGCTGAGAAATGGTACTGACCACACACTATTTCATTCAAGGTTAGGTTAATTAAAGCTCTCAAACATTTCAATTTTCAGTCATTACGAAAGATAACGCAACGAGATTTGTTCACACTAGAATCAGTCAAAGGTGTACTGTGAAAAGAAAAGTATTTTGAAAAGGGACAGCTGGAAGAAATATTTACTGCCATGATCTTACAAGGGAAAGTTTGAATAAAAACAGCTACAATGAGCTGGTAAAGGGCACCTGAAATAAAAATTGGAGATGTGAAATAGCAAGAAAGGGCTAGAATAAAAATTGATACATTACTGTAATCTGACTAATGAGAAGTTTGGGTAAAACTTGATACAGTTGACTGATTAGAAAATTTGGATGACTAAAAGTTATACACTGTAATGTACAAGTACAGTACTGTACTGTGTTTATTACTGACTTGGTTGAATATAGCACGTCTTTAACTTGTACTATTGACCCACAATTAATTACGTCTGTTTAATGTATCCTTCCTAATCAGGTTAAACATTTATGTCTGCTTACTTTTTACTTCTTGATCAGGTTAAATATTTAAGGCTATTTAAATTTACTCCATGACTGGGTTAAATATTTACGTCTGTTTAATGTATCCTTATTGACAGTAAAATATCCACGTTTTTATACGGGCAATACAAAGACTATTAATGGTAATATAAAATTATAGGCTGATATGTTTATGAAGTCTCGTGTTATTGAATGGTTAATACAAGCTGTATTTACACGAATTTCTCCTATACTGTACTAAGTAATAACTGGTCTTGCCTCTTTCAAGTTTACTTAAGGTTTAAAAACTCAGTTAAATTATTCTAGTTTTAAAAGCAGGATTTTGCCATACTTTAGTTTTAAGAGAAGGGTTTTGCCATACTATCATGTGTTGGTATCTGACACTTGATTGAAAATGCTCAACTTATGCCGAAATAAACTTACCGATATATGGTACGTCAAGACAAGAATGAATCACGGTACAGTATTTGATACAGAAATAAGGTAAATTTTTTTTTTGTATTTTCCACCCAATTACATTAGTTTTGTACTTGCTCATCAATAATTCCTGAGTTCAGTAATGGTTCGATGGCGGATCTTCCCACTCTCACATGATAAGCAGGATGGTGATATATTTTGCAAGTTTGTGTGTGCATGCATGCACAGATGTACAGAGTATGTGAGTACGTTGCTTCATGGGTTTAGTTTTACGTGTTAGCCTACATACCATACTTGAATTATGTTAGACTGTGCCTGCTTTAAATCCACTTGCGTGTATGTGTTCGTGTAAATAAACAAGCGAACGTAAGCTATGTTTGTAAATAAGCACACACTTCAGCATTTGTGCATGTGTATAATGCGTGCAGTATCATAGCTGATGAGCACATTTCTCCTAAACATACACCTGCATGGATAACAAACAAGTGGTCCGACTAATTACCCAAATGTACCCAAATATAGCCGCAATGAAGTCAGATGATGGTCGTACAAGCGTAATTCGGGCTGTGAATCACTTCTCGATTATTATTTGGTGTCATAAAGTAAAAAAAAAAATTGGTAAACTTAATTTAATCTGAGTTGTGTTGTGTTAGGTTAGGTTAGATTAGGTTAGGTACATGCACTTGATCTATTAACTCAGATTAAATTAAGTTTACCAATTTTTTGTGACTTCGTGACACCAAATACTAGTCGAGAAGTGATTGGCAGTCCGATTTATTCATCTAGGACCATTATTTGACTTCATTCCGGCTATATTTGGCTACATTTGGGTAATTAGTCGGACCCGATACAAGTGTCCGTGTACCAAAATGTTTTCTTAAATTAATGACACGGAAGTGTGTATAGTGTATTTAAACACGTACGTTCGGACAGTTGAGAGGAAACTGTTCTCTTGTGACTGTTTAACATGTTAGGTTACGACACTCGCTGATAACTCCTGACAACCTTAATTATAATAAAATTAAAGTTTTGAAGATTTATCCACCATTAAATATTCCTACTGAAAAAAAATATTGTAAGCCCTTCCGAATTACAATTGTGAGTGGTTTAATATATAATAACTTGAGATGGAGTCAACGAGTGTTTTGGTTGCTATAAATGGGTGTACCGTATTATATTGCTGTACTTTATTTATAAATAATATGGGTATAATTAAAAATAATTACTTATAGAACTTAAAGTAAGTACATTTTGTTACTTCGACTCACAGTGACTAAGATTAAAAATTAAACTTACAAGATATTTTTCACAGACGAGACGATCTCAAAAGTAACGAGCCATGTAAACGACACCGTTGTCCGCCCTATCTAGTGGGAACCAGTTTACTCCGCGGGCTGGCCAACCCGGGTTTCAGATCTACCACCACCACCTGAGCTATCGATCCTCCTTACTACAGCGTCCCTTTTATCCCTCCCCACCACTACTTTCTGGACCTTTAATCTCTAACTACAGCTCCCTTTCTGCTCGCCACTACCTCCTCTCCCCCATTCCCAACTACTTCAACCCTCCTCCATCCCCCCCTCACCCCCTTCCTCCTACTAACATTTTTTTTCCTTATCACTATCTCTCCATCCTCCTCCCATCCAACACTTTCCCCACGTCCCCCCTCCCACGCCTTTTCCTCCCCGTCTTTCACCTGCTGTGTCAAAGCCCGAGTTCCTGCGTAGTATGGTAGTTTTTCTGAAACGCCTTTGTTCCGTTTTTAATCAAGGTAATATCACGAACTTTTGAAGTTTACATAAATGATTTATTTTTTTTTCACCCGAGAGAAATGTATGGATTTAGATGTACAGTAGGACTAGATTCAGCTCATTTCATTATATATTTGTTTTAGTTATTAAATATATCTTCCTGTAAACAATATTGAGCTTCAACAATTATTAATAACAAACTTTAACCGAAATTCATCACTTACATAAAATCATTACCCCTATGCTGTGTCCTGAATACATTAACTTTTGTTATCTAAACGTTAACCTTCATTATTATCACCTAAAGCCTTCCTTTAATAATATGACCGTCTGCATATGTAATACTACGACACAACTATTGTTAAGGCATCTTGTGACTCTACAGACGCCAAGAGCAATTATGGTCATCTACGATTCAACAACTCAGTTACAACTATCCCATGACTGCAAGGAAGATGACAACTGAATACCGCGCCACACCCACCCTCTTGACCAATAACATTCCTGCTATTTATACATTCACCAATCGGGGCCGCGGTACCGGTTAGACCCCCGAGGATTAGCCAATGGGAGAGCAGCATTTCGTCAACCCACTCCGGTAACCAATAGAGAGCCTGCATTCTGAGGCGAGGCATATTACGTCACAGAATGATAAGAAAAACTGGAAGCTCTTATGACCAGAGCCAACTCCGCAGACTGGATATAACTGGACGGTAAAAAATCTCCAGTGACTTGTTTGCTTGGCAACTTGACTGCTGCCAGACACTGAAAATAAAAGTTTGACGTGTACAATGACGGTATTGCTATTCACGAACTCTGTAAGCACACACACACAGTTATACAATCATATAACACATTTCAACACATGAAAAATTATATAACATTCCAACACGTACACTTTCCTAACTCTTTTGTTTTCATTCAAGGTTATACAAAATACATATTATTACATCATACAAAGAACTAAACATACACGTTCATGCACACTGCGCCTTGGCCCGTACACACGCACCTACTACCCTCATCGACCTTCAGTCCCGTGTTTAATATCCAGGTGGTGACGCGGTGAATATGGTGGTGGTGATGGACAGTGGTGACGATGGTGGTAATGGCGGTGGTGATGATAGTAACTGTGGTGGTGCTGGTAATGATATGTTCACACTCCATACTGGAAATTTCAACTCTATATTCC